CACTTTGTTGCAGTATGCCCTATATATTATTACATTACTAGAATTAATGATATATAGTTTAATTTTCCTTTAAACCCCCTATTAATTAAGGAATTAGGTTTTTAATTTACTATCAACAAATATTGGTAAAGTAATAATATATAAATTATATAATTTGTTATTTTATTTTCTTTTACAAAAAAATAAACAGTTATGGCACCAAAAAAACTTCAAAATTGTGTATTAGTTGATCATTTTGCAATAGTTATTCAAGTACTGTTGGGTGCAATTTCTTGTTCAACACTTATTTATAAAAGACACAGAGAACAGCCACAAAGGCCTTTGCTAATATGGTAGGTTTACAGAATTATTACTATTGTTATTATCATCATTACTATCAATCATGTAACCATATATGGCTTTCTAGTAATTTATATATAATCTTTTCACTATAAAGGTTTTATGATGTTAGTAAACAAGTATTAGGTGCAGGCATTATTCATGGATTAAACATTCTTTTTTCTTATATAGCAGGTTCACACAACACAAAGGATACAATCCATGTATATGGTAAACCAATTAATATTATTTATTTTTATTTAGATAATTATAATTTATTAATTTGTAATATTTCTATAGGTATTTTCTTAATATATTTGTAGATTGTACTATAGGAGTATTTATATTATTTGTAATCCTTAAAATAGTGCATCATTTATTAGCTATTTGTGGTGTAGAAGGTAAAAAATAATAAACATCTATTATCATTATTAGTAATTATAAATTTAATTAAAAAAATTTTTTCTAGGAATTAATAGTGGAGATTATGGACAACCACCACAATATATATTCTGGGTTAAACAAGCAGTGGCATTTATATTTTGTCTAATGCTAATGAAAATAGTTGTAGTAATATTATTTAGATTATGTCCATTTTTATTTGATATAGCAGAATGGATACTGGGTTGGACATTGTATGATGTTAAATTACAAGTGGTTTTTGTAATGTTAATATTTCCATTAATAATGAACATTATACAATTTTGGCTTGTGGATCAAGTTATTAAAAAGAAAATCGAAATTGATGGTGGTGTTGGCATTAGATTAGGAAGGGGAGGGACACATCATCATCATCGTCATAATCATTTTGTTGTTGGTGATGATGGTGATGATGGTGATGATGATGATGATGATTCAATTAGAAATGAAGATGAAGTTTTCTTAAATATCGATTCAACAGATGATGATGAGGATGATGCTATTATTAATGATAGAAAAGAAATGAATTATAATGAAAGTTTACCAATTCATCTCAAGAGAATCAATAGTGAAGATAAAACTGCTAATAATAATAGCATTGATGATAATAATAATGATATTTCAAGAGAATCTTTTTCTATGAATGATATTAACAACAATAACAAGGAGTTTACTGCTATGACACAGAGGACACAAGTATGACTGGGGTAGAAAATTTTTAGTTTCTTGAGCTCAGATAG